TGTTCCCCTCTCCCCCTCCCTCTCCCCGTTCCCCTCCCCCTCCCTCTGTCCCTTTCCCTCTCCCTCTCTATGTCCCTGTCCAAGTCCCCTTCCCTCTCCTCTCTTTCTCCCTCTCCTTCTATCTTTTACCTATCAACAATCAACACAATTTTACCTATCAACAATAAACACAGTACCTGATAGACCCTATGCTTAATTGTTATTTTGTAAATGGAATGTAATTTTGTATACAATAGTATAGTATGTAAATTCATTTTAGAAATGTGTCACTCTTCTCATTTTGTATTTCGTGCATGTTTATATGTTTCCTCTCAAAACACCTGAATATTTAGCTTCATATATTCAGTTGCATTTCAATATAGTGTACCCCTTTTGGATGTTAGTCTTGAAGGTTGCTTTATGTGTTATTGTATTCCCTATACTATCCAATATATACTATAGTATAGTATATAACATATATATATTGGGTTAATGGTTTGATTTCATGGTTTATGGTTTTTTTTCACTGACTATACTATAGCATATGCATTATAGTATATTGTTTTGCATTGCTCACTCGCCTCTTACAGTCGCGTAGGCGTGTGCAAGGCAAAAATCGCCCAACAATGACGTTAATTGTCACATCACATTCCTTATGGTTATATCTTAAATTTTGAATTTCGCTATAGTTATTTGGCAATTTGCCCCTAAATTAAACCACTAAAAATCAAGGTGAAATAACAGATGGTTATTAAAACAAATAGACACTATAACAACATAACTTACATCTCAGCCAAACGACGAATATGATTATTAAACCATACAATAATTTATTGAATATTTTACATAGATATTAAGTTTGTCAATTAACAAAATATATGAAATAAAAAATATAGTTTAACGGGGTTTAAGCAGACCTTTAATATAAAAAATATTCATATAAACTTTTTAGTTTGACGGATTTTAAATAGGTTATTCGATTAAATTTTTTATCAAATGTTATTTTACTTAAAGTTAGTGAAAACCATATTAACTCATTTACATACATATATATATATATATATATATAGAATATTATATTTAAAATTGTTTTTTAACATTTTTAAAAAATTTGTTAAGGATTTTTGGTACCGGTTGGATTTGTATTTGATTTTCGGATATAACACTTTAATAACCCAAGTATATAGGCCAAGTGTAATTGAGTATGAGACTTTGATTTTTAAGTCGATTCCTAGTCAGGTTTTCTGGGTACTAATATTTTTGACTAATTATGTTAAGTAACTAGTACGAAAATATAATATGTTGCAAACTTTAGAAACAAAGTTTCAAAATAATTTCTGAAATGCATATAAAACAAGTGGATAATTATGCAACTTGACATATTTAATATATACCAACAGTTATATTAAATTAAATTAATAATAATTAATAAAAAATATATGATTACAAAAATAACATAAACTAGATTTTAACCTGCGCAACCGCACGGGTGTTTGTTTTCGTTTATAGTTAGTTATATAAACATTTTGTTTTCACTTGTAAATTGGTATATATTATAGTAATCACATATTTACGATATGTATAGTAAATGTTTTTCAAACATAATAATACTATATAATAAGTGTTTTAATCAAATAGATTGTTTCAAATTTTCTATATTATACATGTTTTTCAAACATGTGTTTGTTTCTTCTTTTATATTTTATTGTTTGTTAGATTAGTATTTCATTTTTAGATAAAATAATATAAATAGATTTTGATTAAATATTAGTATACTTTAATTTGCAAAGATAATATAAACTTCGAAGAATATTTTAATAAAAACTAAACTTATAGCTTCATAAATTAATATTATAAAGAATTTTATTTAAAAAGATTTTTTTAAACAATTTCTTTTTTTAAAACAATATAATTTAAAAAATTTACATCGAAATAAATTTATCTAATATATATAGTGTGTAAATTTTGTTAGGGTATATAAATATTCCATATTAATAATCTGTGATTTTTGTTAATATATTGTAGATGAATTTATCTATTATTGACATATTTCCTTATAAATAATAGAAGATTCCTAAACTTATATCTATTGACATATTTTGCGTGACTAAGTTGGAAGGTGTAGGATAATTTACCAAAATCAAATTGTTAAGTGTATCTTTGTTATTATAGATATGATTTTTCATAAGATATAATAATGATAAGATTATTAGAGAGTTAATGTAACATAACTTTATAGTAATATATAAGAAGATATAAAAGGGAAAATTAAATTTCTCAACAAAAATAAATAAAACAAAAAAAATATACCCAAAAGGCAGGTCAGAAACTAGTATATGGTAATGTTATATCTTTATATATTTTTCCTCGAGTTTTTTTACCTTGGAATTTCTTCAAAAAAAAAAACAGACAGATAAAAGTAAAAAACAAAACTCCAAAAAAATTTTATTAAGGTTTTTCTTTGAATAGGGAAGCTAATCCGGTAACGACCTTCACTTCTCTCTCCACCGCCACATCATCACCAACAGACGGAAAAGGAGAGGAGGAAGAACTAATCACTCCCGGCGACAAACATTTCTCCTCAAAAACAATCTCAACCCCTGCACAATCCACCTCTAGCTCCGCCGCGGCCGCCGCAATAGGCAGCTCCTCGACGTTTCCACAAGCTCGTGTGTAAGTTCCTAGCCACTTGGATCGCATGTACTCGACTTTCCTCCACGGCGGCAAATGCATCCCGTTCTTCTTCAAACTCCGTTTCGCCGCATCGGAGACCAAAGACACGATCCGACTCAACCGATCGGGTTTTCCGACGAATACGAACGGTAGAGATCGAAGCAACGCGTTGTAACCGCTCGTCTGTCTCGCGATATCGAACTCAGATCTGAAATCAACGTCGATCACGAACCGCTCTTCTCCTAGAATCACGTCTATGTACTCGTGATCACCCGCTGGAAACGACGCAGTTTTATCCCATTTCGATTTGCAGATCGAAGAGTCGTAGTGAAGAGATAAGAGTCCTTCGTTGACGATCTTCCTCGTAACGTCTTTTCGTTTGACTGATTTGTTCTTATCCATAATCTTCGCCACGTCGGATAACAGATTCTTCTCTGTGAGGCTCGCGCATTGGATCAAACTCTGTGATTCAAATTCTGTTAAATACAATAGAGAGAGAGAGGTGTGAGAGTGAAGAGTGTATATGTACCTTGAGATGATCTAAAACGTCGTCGTATAGATCTGATTCATCGTCGGAGGAGGAGGTATCATTGTTGCCGTTGAAGCAACTGCAACGGTTGCGTCCACATTTGGATTGCTTCTCGTTGTGGTTCTCCTCTATGAAGTTCTGAACCATCTTATCTAAACAAACAGAGCTCGGCTCCAACTCCGTCACGGCGGAGGGGGTTCTCGTGAACGGCCGATCAAAGAGACGCTTGAGGCGAGATTTGAGAACCGGTTTAGGTGTTGCCTCCGGTTTAGTTACGGCAGGTGAATCGATATCGATCGGTTGGATCTTCATGTTAAACGGCATCGTTATGATCAAAACAATGATCAAAACTTATTCACCAAGTCAATTTCTCGTTCAAAGTAGCTTTAAAGACAGAGACGACGAGAAAACAGAAAATTCGAAAACCTCAGATCGTCAAAAAATGCTATCTCCAGAGATTAATTAAGAAGAAGAAAGAATCTAGCAAAACCTCTCAGCTAATACAAGAAAGAAACCTAAACCGTCTTCTTCAATTTAGCGGATCATATTTCACAAAACAAAGCAAAGAATAATACTACTTCACAAGGAAAACAAAATAGTATTTGAGACGGATTAGTGACGATTTTCACGGAACACGTGACGGCGATGGTCCGAGAAAGAGACGGAAACAGAGGACATGATCACTTTCCCGGCGAGATTCATCGCCGGAGATATAAAGGTTAACGAAAAAATTGAGAGATAAAGTGATCTTTTATAAGAAGAAGAAATTTATTTTCTGAGAACTGTTATTTTTTTCTGGTGTGGGTGAAGAAGAGGTTGGCTTCGTCTTTATAAAGGAACAGAGAAGAGGCCACAAAAGTAGTTTGTTAGATTAATTAAACTCTTAGAAATTAAATGTATAATCCGCTTCTTCAAGTAATAACATAATGTCAATAAATAGGGGACCATAATATATTTAGACTGACCACTAAAGGACAAAGAAAAAGTATGTTATGGCAGTAAATTATCTGAATGTGAAATGCTAACATGTACTACAGATTAAAACTTGTATCACATGCTGTAATTATGAGTCTTTAAGCTTTGCTTTATATTAACCACATTTATATCATACACCTTTAGTTAAAATTACTAAAAATCATGTAAAAGACGGGGCCCAACTATTTGACCGTTTGGTCTTATACTCTCATTCATATAAAAAAAAAGTAAAAGTTACACAAATAATATGATATAAATGTGAGGAATTAAAACAAGAATAATAAGAAGAGAACTCTTCCTTTTAACGCATGTATGCAATTATCATAGCTGCTGGTAAACTAGAGGACAACCAAAATACATTGTGAGTTTTTGCAATAGCGACGACTCGTTCGTATGTAAATAATTGCATCACGCCTCTTAAAAAATTAGTACCCACTTATATTTTATTTCTTTGTTCAATTAGTACCCACTTATATTTTATTTCTTTGTACTGAACTTATTACTGACACATGTTTTACTCATTCTACACTGCAGATGATCTGCTTAGGCCATTTCAAACTTATGCAATGTATTGTCAATGGGTCCGATTGAGATTGTGACACAAAATACTAAAATCATTTTAAGATGATAAAATAGCAAAATAAAAAAGCGGTATAAGGTAGTAGTAAAAAGGTAAATGGTTGAACACAGTTTATTATAATTTTGTGAGATAGTAATAAACAAAATCTCACATTGAATAATTTGATAAGGAGTGTTTAATATATAAAGAACAATCTAACTCTCTAATAGTACGAAGTCTTTTGAGAAAAAAATCAAAAATAAATCCCAACAATTGGATAGAGTTTCACAATCCCAACAATTTTTACATGATTCAGTCGATAGGGTGTTACTATATGTCTTGTTCACAAAACAATACACTTTACCCATCTCAATTTTACATATGTTAATTTATACTACTACTATTAAAGAAGAACGAAACAACACACTTTATACTTTATTTTAACCAAGTGCTATGGAACTCGATTCAATACTTCTGTTTTGTTGAAAAAAGCAATACTCGATTATTCGTGTGTGTTATAAAAGTAATGCCATACATTGCTACGATTAATATAACTGGCTTTTTAACTGTAACATTGATTCACACGAAAAAGAAGTGGGGGATCAATTTCGTCTGCCCCAAAACAGAAAAGAAAAAAAAAAAAAAAAACTGATGATACTTTCCCTCTATCGCAATCAAGTTATCAAAACCCTTTTACTATCACTTTATTCCCACTTTTTTTCTCCCTGTCCGTGACATGTGGTTTAATATTTTTTTTAGCAAAACCAATCAGTTATATTTCTGTAATTACATCAAGTTCATAGAAAATATATATCATATTATTTTTGTATTCATATTCAATATTATGCCATTTCATTCAGCTATGTATAATTTTAAACCATGTCTGATTCAGCTATGTATAAGACTATAAGTTAGTTTACTAAGGTTTAAAATATGGGGTGTTTTATAAAAACAACCCACAAATTCTAGTCAAATAAAAAATTAATCCTTCTTTTTTTGTCATTATTATTAATCCATGAAATTTCTAAACCATCCTTATGTTTTTGAAAGATTTATAGAATTGCCATTATTATTTACTTTTTAATTATTTCAGAAAATGACAAAAAATCAATAACACCCTTAACTTTTCTTTTTATTTACAACAATGCCATCATCATCAATTTTTAACCACCATGAACCACTATTTTTGAGCTCTTTAAACCTCTCAAATTCAATTTTCAACCATTTTTCTTCTCATTCTAAACCAACAAATCTTCACTTCCTCTCATTTTCTCTCGCTTTTCTTCTAAAAAACTCTCATAACATTCATTTACATAAGCATACCTTCTTTATTTTGAGTGTACTCTGTTGTTGATCGTCTAAGCTGCTTCTATTTCTTCATATTTGGAGCTTGGACGGCCGAAAATGGTGGAAACGAGCTTTACACCGGAAAATATCTATTGACATGGTTTTCGTCATTTTCAGATCTGTGTCGCGATAGTAGATTGTATTGTATGTCTACGCATATGTGTATGCATTCTACTTATCAACGCACATGTTAGTTTTGCAATTGACCAGAATAATTGTTTATGTAAATCAGACTTCCCTGGAAGTCTACGTCATTACCTTTGATAACATAAACAAAAAATGAGTAGACTTACAAAAAATGAGGTAGACTTACAAAGAAATCTACGTAAAAGAGGTTCGTTTTGCATTTGACTAAACTTTTGACTTTTCTATGTAGACTTCGTCATAAATCTACAGACTGTAGACTCTCGAGAAGTCTACAAAAAATCTGTTTTGTATTTAACGCAAATTTTGACTCCGTTGAATAGGTTAGTTTAGTATTTGACTAAAATGTTAAAAAATAGACCCAAAAAAATGTAAATTTTAATTTCAGTATACTAATTTAAAAAAAAAAGATACACAACACATGAAGTCTACTATTTTATTTTGGTCAAATGCAAGACTAACCCCCCGTATTTGAGGATAGACTTCGTATAAAGTCAACAGGTATGTAAACATTTGTTTATGTTTACTAATAAAAAGTCAAACTTGGTCAATTGCAAAACTAACCTCTGTCAAAAAAATTCAAACATGTAGACTGCTGCTAAAGTCTACTTCAGTAAGTCAAATCTTGGGTGATTTTTGGTCAACTGTAAAAACTAACATTTTTGATATGTAGACTGAAATGGAAGTCTACATGGATAAAATCAGATTTTTTTCCAAATATAGAAAGTAACCCGTAAAATTTTCAATTGCAAAAACTAACCTAAATAGAAGACTACATATGAAGTCTATATGTGTAAACTATAACGAAAGTCTACATTTACGCAGACTGCTTATGGAGTCTACGTTTGAAAATATATTAAAGTGAATTTGTGTATTATTCATTAAGTTTTTTCAAGATTTTTTTGTTTGCCAGTGTGTGTTAGTTAATCCTAATACGTTTGAGTGATTTTTAAAAGAAAATATGTTACATTTATGAAATTATGATACTTTTGATTTGATCATGTAGTTAGCTAATAATCGTAGACGTATTGGTAAGTCCACTTTATAGATTTTTTAAATATGGTCGCTAACTATGTAAATTTTCATTTTTTTCATAGGAAATGGCTGAGTTACATGTTGTGTATGAACTTATGTTTAATTTGTAGGCTTCTTTGGTATTGTTATGAAGTGTTAAACAAGTCTAATTTCTGTTATGTAGATTTTTTCAAATGTATAAAACAAAAACAGACTTCTTTATTAGTCTACATGTATGAAAGTAGTATAACACTAAAGTCTACTCTCTTTTATTGCTATTGGAGTTGTATTAATTTGTATTATTAATTTCTTTTGTGTTCAAAATCTCTAAAATTGCTATAAAACAAGTCTTCATATTACATAATTTTAACACATTCAATATAATGTGAGTTGGTTGTTGTTTAGCTTATGGTGGTTTTTAACTGTTTGGCTTACTAGAGTGTTTCTGAAAAACTGATTGCTAACAAAACTTAATAATATCATACAAGTGCAACACAATTAAAAAATTAATACAATGTTTATTGATTATGTATCATAATATTTATTTACAAATGCATATTTTGTAAAGATAAATTATTACAAAGCAATTTTTTAGAAACTCTAGAGTGTTTGTTTATTCATAATGTTGATATCTCAAATGCAATCTTGGAAAAGAGAACCTGCAAAATAAGATAAAATTATGAGAAAACATTAGGTAAACATATTCAAATTGTTTTTAGTAAACTTCATAAAAGTCTACTTAAATTTTATGGGTTCAATAGACTTTATTTAAAGTCTATTAGCCTTAATTTTTAAATAAACTTCATGCCAAAAATAATTTCAGATCTAAAAATGTACAACGACAAAATTAGAAAATAGTATTTTCTGCAAAATAATTTAAAATAGTGTTTTAACCTAAAATTAGTAGCAAAAACATAGAGCTTGTATCTATACATTTAATTTTATATAAACAAAAAAAAAAAATTTTAAATGAATATATGTAAATATTACATTTTTGGAAGGTGATTTGAAAACTTTGAAAAAGAATCATGCAAAATAAAATATAATTATGAAAAAAATTAAGACAAAAAATTAAAATCATATTTGAGACTTCTAATGAGTCTGTTGAAAAGTTAAAGTTAATAAACTTCATTTGTAGTCTACTCAATTCGACAAATTTTAGATCTGAAAAATATATACATTACAAACATGAAAATAACTTTAAATCTAAAAAGTTTAGAAAAATAGAATTTGTAAAATAAATTAGTAGGAAATTATAGACATAGAGTTTGAATATGTAACTTTATTTAAATATAAAAATAAAACATACATTATAGACATAAATCTTACAATTTTTGGTGGAAGATAAGAAAACCATGGAAGAAAATACCTGCAAAATAAAGATGAAACTATGAATAACATAAGACAAACAATTAAAATCATAACTTTGTAGACTTCATTAGAAGTCTATTATATATTAGACAATTTTCAGATCTGAAAAAATTATATATTTGAAAATGTGAATCTTTCATTTTTGGGAAAACTAGATAAAAACCATGGAAGAAAATATTAACAAAATAAATATAAAATTATGAGAAAAAACATTATACATAAAAAGTCACTTCTAGTTTTGTAGACTTCATTACAAATCTACTATATTGGATAATTTTCAGATCTGAAAAACTATGTACATGTGAAAATGTGAAACATTGTTTTAATCTGAAAAGAAAACTTCAAAAATAGAATTTATAAGATAAAATAG